AATTGATTAAAGAAGAGGGACAAAAAAAATTAATAAAATCAAATAACTACCCACGGTGTCAATTTGTTCAAAGATAACACAAAGATGGTGATGCAAGAGATTGGGAAATGGAACCTATTTCAAAGCCCAAGGAGCAAAAAGTTTTGACTCCATCTATTAAAAACTTCAACCAAGGCAACGAGCACAACATGAGGAAAGCAAGACTGGGAAGCATATGGAATACAAAAAGCCAAATGTTGATGAAACACTGATTTCATTTTAAAACCGCTCCGGGCGATTAGTTGAGCATAAACTAAATGTGTAACGTTTGCATAGTAGGCTACACAAAAATAATAAACCAGCCCAAAAAAACAGTACTGTATCTAGTTGTGTCGATCAGCATCTGCTTTTCTCCACGGGTCAGAACCGCCATCCACCGAGAGCCGTGCCTTTGCCAAGTCGAGACATTAAGTACACACTAATGCACAAGTATACATTAGGACACCGTGCGATCTCTGAACTCTTTGCGTTAAATGTTTTCTGTGGCTGAATGAAGTGGCTCCCCAAGATAATGTCATTAGGGAATTGAATTCTCAAAGAGACGCACGTCAAAAGCGTCAACTTGTGGCCATTCAGTCTTCATTCTGCCTCACCACAGTGAAGGTAACGACGTTCAAGGTCCCGTTTCCTGGAACGGTGTGCTCGTTTTGTTTCTTTCTTAATGCAGGAATACTTTGATTATGTCAGCGATGTAAAAAGTGTCACCCACTCTGCAATAAATGCAGCCCCAAAAATAAAAGCATCTGTGCAGTTTGAAAATTATAACTGAACATGAACATGACTTTTTTTCCAATTTGGTCTGGCTTGGCTGATCTATTCTGGCCCGTTATTCACCTTTTCATAATGAAAAACAAACCAATTGGATCAAATTATGAACAAATGGACAACTTGGGGGAAAAAGTAGCATTGTTCGTCAAACTGTTTTGTTACGTGATCCATATCCTTGGTCGACATTTTATGAGACGAAATCAAAAAAAGTCAAATTTCTTCTGGCTAGCACAACTAGAGATGGCTAGAAACCTTTTGAATGGGAGGTCTGAACAAAACCCCAAAGTTATCAATGAGATAGCGAGAGGAATCTATTTAGATATATCCCCCCCGTCCCCCCACATTACATTCTACTTGCAGCAGGGCCAAGAGGGGCAGCGACAAACCAGCGCAATTAGATGACGCTGTTGCAGATTGGAACCATTTGGCGTTGCATATATTTCACTCAAACAGTTCAGATGGTCAAGGATTTCGCAACCTTGGCGGACGCCTACGCTTTCCCGAGTGTTTCGCTAGTTTTGCATACGCTATCTAGAAACTAACTTGCTCTTTCTCAGCCCGGCCATTCCTTTGCGTTATCCCCCTCTTATTTTTAGTTTTAATGTGAGGAGCGCCGAGGTCAGAAAGTATATGTAGGACTGGTTTTCGTGACAGGCTTCACGGTTCCACTCGTGCCATTAGCATGCTAATATGTGCACTAGCGCCATTCTTTGCCTTCCTCTTCAACTGCTCATTGCGACACACGAGCAAGCGGCTCCCCGCTCGGCCATCTCGCAGTTCCCCTGCAACAATAACAGACAACTGAGGCACCTTCTCCTCCTTTACAAATTAGGTTCACTGTATTTCCTCTTACTGCTCCGCCCTTTATTTGTTGTCGTTGTTGTTGTTGTGGTTTGACACTTCTGAGTCGTTCCACAGTGTGCCTGGTGAGAGCAGGGTGGCGCTGCCGGCTAAGTGTACTTTTGTAAGTAGCGCCGTCCTCTGTGACACATGTTGCAGTGCTCCCGACAAAAACACCCCAAATCGATGGCGATGCATCTTAGTCGAAACAGGACACAAAGTGGAGTCTGAGCGCGCATTGTAAGAGAAGCTGAGTGTCGTATTCTGGAAGGAGTCCACGCACGCACACACAAGAATCCCCAAAGCAAATGCAAGAGGAGATAGAGAAAGATCCCGCAGAGAGGATGATGCAACTGGAGTGAAATTTTTCGTCCGGTACGCGTGCTGCATTAACGCAGACCTGCAGGACAAAACGCAGGCGCGCACGCACACGCTCGCATGCACGCTCACAGTTTCTTTTTTGTTCGAAGGCAAATTTGGTTTTATCCTCCTTTCTGCAGATGGTGCTTCTCTAATGGTAGCCTGCAACATCTAATTGCCTGCAATAAAACACAGCATGAGTCTTTCATGTTTTTTGGCGTCGTGACTTTCTGGTTTTACCAAAACACGATACGCCCGATAATCTGTTGTGAGCCTTCTTCTCTGAAATATTCATTAAAAGAGGCTAAAATGTCCAAATATAGGCGATTAGAGAGATGCAATGCCCTTCATGAGCAAGTTTCTGTATCATAACGCATCTGCAGTATAGATAAGATACATACGGCCACTATTATGTTCCAAAATATGGGCATCGTCTTTTACTGTTTGAGTAAAATTTTTTTTTTTTGTCCCCCTTAGAGCAAACAAATTGTGAGACTTTGTTTACATCTCTCACCAAGTCAACCCTGAGCCCAAAACAATGACGCGTGAGCAACCTTTGAGCCTAACTCTCAGGCTCTGCAACGCCAACTGACCGAGCCCTGCATGTTGTTCATCCATGACCAGCAAAGGTACAAGAAGAAATGATGTTCCATCCAACCCCTCACTGAGAGAGAAAAACAAAGTTGCTGACGGTTGTGTTGACGAGGACAACAATCATGTTGATAGGATGATGCGACCACGACTTCACACTTCACAATCAGCCGCACATTTTTACATACAGTCCAACCGGACGGATTGTATGTACGTGTAATTGTAGCGGGGCGCGAGCTCGAAGGCTGCCCCTTGTGTGCTAACTGTGCGTCTCAGACCCGCTATGCTCGGTTGCTGCTGCAGCGGCGGTAGCAGTAGCCGGTGACCATTATAAATGGCCTCTATTAGCATGGCTCGGTCGCAGAGGGGAGAGAAATAAAATCATTGAGAGAATGTAGGCCTGCGCCGGTGTCCCGGCGCCCACTCCCAGACTCTGCAGACCTCTGTCCCCCCTCAGTACCCCTCCTCCCCACCTGCCCCCTCCTCCAAGCCCTCTCTCTGTTCCAAGGGGACAGAATCCTAAAGACTAGATTACCAGTGATACATGGAGTCATTATGGGGAGGGTTATGGCAATAGTATCACAGGCACAGCTGACAATGGCTATAATAGGGGTCTCTTTCTTCAGAGGCAGCATTACCATAGGGAAGGCTGCTTCTTCGGGCTTGTTGATACTGTAGAACAGGATAAGCAATGTTTATTACCTGCGGTAGCAGAAAAAAAAGAAAGCCGTGGATCAGTGAGCTGAAACTGAGCTTATTTCTTGCTAAAAGTGCATCCTTGTTAAGTTAAACGGGGCTAACAGTCTTCCAATGTGAGGCTCTACATGGTTGGTGATGACGACCACAAAGCTTTTTTTTTTTTTTTTTTCATGAAAGAGGTTGAAAGTGTGGAATCATGCGACATGTATGTACAGTTTCTGCCTCATACTGAATGGCATATGCAGACTCAGGACCACGAGGGAGCAAGATGATGAAAGGGCGTGAGGACAACTACAGTATATCAAAAAAAACAATTGTTGAGCGTTTTTAAGGACAGTTCGACAGACTTTTGAGTAGCTCACACTGCCATGGAAATACGAATAATACATTGGAATGTAAATAATAGCCAAATGGAAAACGACAATTGCATGCGATCGACAACAACAAACAGATTTCACAGAAGTGATTTGAAGAAAATATGTCAACCGCATGTTACAAAGAAAGTCTTATGGGGGGGGGGGGGAAACGGGGGCTTTATGCTTTAGAACATATTAAAAAAAATAATCTGGGCTGCGACTGTCACTTATTTGTGACGTGTGCACTCTCTTGCCTTCTCCTAATTTGGACAGTTTTTTTTTAATATAGAACGTGGCTGGAAGGTGTTTGAGGTCCGTGCAGGGAACGTGAGTGAGTCAGGCAGTAGCTAGTGCCTCAAGCTAGTTAAAATATGAGCACAGCGGGGACTCGCTAATGAAAGCGGGAAACAGGGCCGTATATCGCAGTGAGGAGACATTTCTTAGAATCAGCTGGTGAGCCATGCCAATAGTTCTGGGGCCACTGGTGATTAACCGTCCAACAGGGGGTGACCACAGCTGTGCTATTAATAAAATATACCCCCCAATGCAAACTCTGCTCCTCTGTCTCTTTTGTTCTCCCGTGCCTATACCGACCCTCTGAAATCATTTGTATGTAGTTTCCGAAGCCATTCAGCAGAAAGTGATTTTTTTTTTTTTTTCCTAATGTACTTTCCTCCCCTGGGAGATGTCCTGCAGGTACAGTGGATCAATTACTGACCTCTCATTAAATGGTGATTTGCCTTCCCTTGAGAGAGGAAAATAAAGTACAAGTGGAAAGTACCATCATTCCTATTGCGCCTAAACAAAGACTGGTCATTAGTATTACACCTCAAAGGCCACGTCCAATCAGCCGGAGACATTTGACATCATCTAATGAGACAGCCTCATTAATAGCCAATCTAAGTGAATCCGTTGCGATCCAAAAAGTTTTGACAGAATTTGGAGAATCGTGGAAAGCACACAGTTAATTATGGACAGAGTACTTGAGTTGCACACGCGAGTGCACGGGCGACGCGCACGCGCACTCACACTACGCACAGTGCTGCGGGCAATCAAACACAGCCTCCGGCTATTGCAACATGAAAACGTGAGTTTAATGGCCTGGATTTAGTCAAGTGAATCAAAGCACGTTTACAACGGCCGGACTACAAAAGCTGCCAGCACGCACGCATGCTGTCGTGACACTTTATGCTATTAAGATTTAGGACATTGACTAAAGTCCAGCGACGAAGCGTCATTCTGTCTTTGTTTTTGTTTTTTTCTTCTTTTTTTTTTGACATGTCACCCTGTCAGAGTGGCGCTCCTGACGCCCTTCAATGTGTGACAGATGCCGGGAGCGTCACCCACCTTTGTGCATGCCCGTGAAGCGGTCCTTGAGCACCGTGAGCTCGTAGATCTTGCCAAACTCCTCGAAGAGGGGCCGCAGGTCCTTCTCGTCCAGGTTGCGGGGGATCTGACCGATGAAGAGTTTGATGGCATCGTGGTCTTTCATGGGGATGGTGGCCGGGCAGCCCGCCGGGTTGTGGTTGTGGCTTAATCCGTTCACTAGCCCGTTGGTGCTGGCGGAGACCACCCCGACCCCGACACCGACACCGTGCACCGCGGCGTCCACTTGCCCGTTGGTTAAAGTTGCCATCGTCGTTCGGAGCGGCCAGCGAGTTGAGGGCGGGTTGCAACAGCAGCAGATGGCGATGATAGTGGTGGCGAATGAAAAGGCAAGGTGCGAGTCTTGGTCAAAATTCGCGTCCGAAAGCAAGCCGCGCCAGAGCTGATTTTTGGGCTCTCGTCCTATCAAAGCCAATATTTACATTGATAGCAAAACACATGTAGCGTGCGGCCGGCCAAGTCGCATAGCAGAAACGCGTGATGCCGTTCTGGTCCCGATGGAGCCTTTTGATTCCTTATGTTTAAGTCCTACTCAGAAAGTCGTTCATTGATATAATAAAAGCGAGGAAACAGAGAGAGAGCGAGCGAGAGAGCGAGCAAGAGAGAGAGAGACAGAGAGAGAGCGAGAGAGAGGAGTTGAGAGACCAGATGGGGGGAGAGAGAGAGAGAGAGAGAGAGAGAGAGAGAGAGAGAGAGAGAGACCAAGCGTGTTCACTGCCTATTTACACCCACGTTCCCTCGTCCCAGCTTCTTGGCGCCCTTTCATTTTTTTTTTTTTTTACATTCGAGTCGCTATGGGTGTCTTCTTGCTTTAAAGGAGCAGGACTGACTCCAACTCTGCCATAGCGGTGGGGAGGGAATAAGATAAACTCGCTGTTAAACTTGGTTTATGTCGCACACAGCTTCTCTGCTACCACCCCCCCATTTTGTGATGGGAAGACCGAATGGTACATTCCATCGAGGCAGAGAGAGGGTCTATAAATAGAGAACTATAGATGAAAACGGTCTTTTGTGCTCCTGCTCAGCAAGTGAAAAACTACACGATCACAAAAATTTGGCGTGCTCACTGATGTTGTATCAGTAAAGCTCTGTTCAGTAAAAGAGACAGTGTGGACTGGTGGTGTTACTGTTTACCGAACATTGCAGAGCCTTTTATTTGGCCGCATGCATCCTGCCCGCGTTGGAGATCCCGGACAGCTCCGCGGTGCTGAAACGAACACGTTACAGTCCAGAGAAGGCTTTTATTGTCACGTTTGTCATTTCTTCTGTCTTTTAAGTGTCATTGTTCATAACACCCGAAGGCGGTCACGTCAATATGTAAGTTTATTGTGTTATTCTTGAAGCCCGAGGCACGGGATGCGTGAGCTCCCAGAAAGGGAAAGTCTGTGAGCACCGCCGAGTGGCGTTCAGAGGGGGCACATAAGGTTGGCTCGGAATTTAATATCAGGCACAGATAGACACTTTGAATGATGCCGTTTGTTTTTAGGTGATGGTGCTAAAACAGCAAATAACCACATCGAATTGACCGAGATCTCTTCATTGATTTGTACAAATCTTGCGTTGTATTTGTATGCATGCTTTACTAACAGAAAATGATAACGCGGAAGCAACGGCTATAGACAAATGAGTGACAATTACAATATTGACATCCAAGTACGAGTGGATGAGATTTGCAGACAGAAACCTGCGTCAGAAAAGAACATGCTTTCCAAGACAAAGTAGACACTCAATATTCTTAAGAATACATCAACCGTATAAACATACATTGACTGCATGGCTACAACATGATCACCACTTGCACAATTCGAGAACTTGACCAAAAATTCGGCCTTTTCACCACTCATCATATTCATTTTCTGCAGTTATAGATTGAAAATGTGCAAAAGTATACAGTATCACACAGGGATGGACTATCTTTGTGATTTTGACCTGAAATGCGAACACTCAGAACGTAAGTACAATTCTACTCCGCGCAAACGACAATCACAATAATAACATTGGTAGATTAACACCCGCCTGACAGTGACAGTCAATGCAAAATGAGCATTCTCTTATCGATTGATTTTGAAAGTGGCGATCATCATCGTATGACCGGTCAATCTACTACTTGATCTATTGCCAGATATAAAAAGTATTGTTTGTTCTATGCTGATATTGAAAGAGAATCAGCGTTGAACCCTTTCATGCACCCTGTAACAAGATAACGTGATAAGCTGTCCACTGTAGTAACCGCTGTCCCTCAAAGGGTTCATCACAATATTCAAACCCGTGAACAAAAAGAGGACATCACAGTGGCTTACACCTCATATTGTTCTGTTTATCTCCTGTAAGTGGCGCGTGCGTGATATTGTTTGCTCCGACCAAATGCAATGCAATATATCAAACCACATCTAAAAAGCAACACAAAACTTCTGATTACAAACAAATCAGCGAGGTACAGTACATATTGATTGGATTTGAAGGTGTAAAAAAAAAAAAGAAAAAGTGTACGGTTGCTGTTTTCAAGAGAATGCAACATTGAGCAGTTTTATAGTGCCGCAAAACAAAATATGCACGTCTCACACACACAGGCGAGACATTTCGCGATGAAGATGCAATGCGTTGTCTGTATATTTATGCAAAGGTACAGCGTCTAGCGTGCCGACACATTGATCCATTGTTCAATTATGAGCCAAGTGAACATGTGCTCGACTTTTATACTGTTCTTTATATCACGAGAACCCCCCCCACCCCTCACCCCCACCCCTTTCCCCTCTCTACTGACACATTAGCCAACCATTATATAACAAAAGCGATACACCAAGGTGCCTCTCTCACCTATTTCTTTCTGCTCTTCCGCCAGCTAAATGGCCCGGTAATGTCATCTCGTTTTCACGGCATGACCGGGCCCCGGTGGGGCGGGGGTAACTTTGCTTTCTTTGGCATGACACCGCGCTCCGCGATCCAAGCTTTCCCCTGGGGCCTCTGCCCATTCACCATGAACTGCCGACTGGCCTGCACTCATTCCTGACTTGCCGTCGGCAATATTTTACATATAATGCGGCGTAACGAGAAGACACCTCATTTCACGAGCGCACCGTCCTGATAACTACATACGGAGTGTTTGGTCACAGAACTCATTTGAACATTTCAATTTCAACCGAAACGATGAGGGCAACAGATACACAATTGCACGTGGATTTTGAGATTTTGTGAGATTTACAGTATGTGTGAAATGAGGAGAAGCGGGATCAAGTCATGAAATTTCCATCCCGAGACCCAGCCCAGACGTCCGTCCATGGTACACTGGAATTCTGTCCGTGGTGCTGGAATAAAGAGCCAATTGTCCTCTGTCCGTGGTTCTTAAGTCATGTGTATTGCAATTCTTCTGTCCCTGGTTCCGAAACAAATCCACTGCATCTATCCATGGTGCTGGAACAAAACTCATGCTGTTTGCTCTGTCCGGGGTTCTGAATTTAGCCTGACACTCCCTTTTCTGACTCTATAGGCCAGGGGTGTCATTTTTGTCGTGGGCCACATTGTAGTTACGGTTTGCCTAGGAGGGCCGTTATGAATTTTGGGAAACCATATCAATTTTTAATCCCCTCTACATATTACACATACAGAGCACAACAAATTGATGAACAACTAGTTTTAAAATCAGAAGTCAAGAATAATGACTGTTATTGTGGATTGCATATGACAATTTGAAATTTTGGTTCAGAATTTATCAAGCATCATGGAACTTGACATGCTTGATTTACTTTCGCGGGCCACATAAAATGATGTGGCGGGCCAGATTTGGCCCCCGGGCCTTGACTTCTGTGCTATAGGCATTGGATCGACAAGGTGTAGCTGTGGTCACTTTCACCACTTTGAATAGACCAGCAAGGCAACGCCAACACAACATGATAGCACGAGCAACATCTTTACGGTTGCGGTTGATGTTTGCGGGTGCTATCGAACGTCGCTGTAAAACTCCGAGGACTTTCAAGTACTCATCTTGGTACATGCTCACTTTTGAATCCAGCAAGCAGCAGCCGGCGCCAAAGTAATATTGAGAGGATATTACCGATCTCGTTTAAGGAAAGCTTGTAGGTTTGCGGTGGCAGACTTTCCTGGGAAGCTCATCGAAGGAAGCAATGAGCTGTGTCTGTCTCTTGGCCCCTGTGCTTGTAGCAGGGCTGCAATGGAAAGAGATTAGTGCGGTGACATTTGACATGGATGGGCGTCTGCGCTTGTGCCGAGCGCCGGCTGTACAGATCAGCTCTGCTGACAGCTCCTCTCCTTCACTGACTCTCTGGCCCCAAAACGCGGACCAACACAAGCTTCTGCGCAACGCTGCCCGGGCAACGAGTCACACACACAAACATGCAAACAAACATACGTGCGTCTTAAAGAGACACAACTGGGGGGGAAAAGGAGAGCTCATTAGCCTAATTAGGCCGCAGTTCCTTTTGTGCGTCCTATGTCAGGAGCCATGTGGCCTCTCACGCAGGTCTGACAAGGGGAAGAAAAAAAAAAAAGTGTCTGGCTGGTGTCTAAATCACGTAGCTCCAAAAACCCATTTCCACTACAACAGATCAATTCCACTGAGAGATCACAAGGTGAGATGACCTCTGACTCGTGGCTTTGTTGGCGCACACTGATGATACTCAGAGGGCTTGACCTGGTTGTCAGGGTGAGGTGACACCTCCATTCGAGATAGGGAGCCATTTTGAGGCCAGAGGGTCGGACTCCAAGGAGCCATTAATTGCTCTAGGGAGGAAAAAGGGGCACACCGGGGAATGTGACAACACCTGATTCTCTGCTCGAGATGCCCCCTGGGCAAAGCAAAAGTCGAGAGAGGATGGATGAAGCGTGGCCTTTATGTCGTTTTGTCTGGTCTATATTTTCACACGGCTATATTTTCACGCTCTCCTGGCAGTGAAGTTGAAATGTTCTTAGCAGGATGTCTCTCGCCGTGTTCGGGCGATGTCGGCAGCGTGAATAGAACGGTGAGCATCAGCGAGCACATTTTCATTCGATTGTTCCAGACACTCACAAACGCTCGAATGAAAATGCACCGGATGCACGGTTGGTCTTCGAGTTCGATTAGCATGAGAATGCCTTCCGATCGCATCGAGAGAGCGTTGAATGCGGGAGAGTGCTCCGCGTGCCAGTCGGACCCGTCCGTCTTCCTCCCTGCCAGGTAGTGACAGACAATGTAAATACGGCAACAGCAATCTTCCATGTCTGACCCCTAATTTGTTTCCAGCATGCTTCTCTGAACTTTAACTCCGTGCCCACATATGTTCCGACTATTCTTTGCTCAGCATGTGGACTCAGCGGGACAAATTAAACAGTGTGTTTGAAAAAGACACATACCGAGTGAAGAAATCCATCAGGCAACAAGTCTGAACAAGGCTGGAGCGCCTGTCCCCCAGCTTCTGGCAGGCTCTAACACAAAGGGGCTTCCTGGCTACAGCTTAGCTCATAGGTAGGGAAAGGTCATTAATAATGAATACCAAATCAGCATCTGAAAAAGGTTACCGTTTTCAAACACCGCACTCTCTTCCTTGTACCTCCCTCGTAGCATTTATTATAGCCTTTTCGCTTTCCCTTCACTGTCACCCCTTTTGTCAGGGAAAATGTGAGCCACAGCTTCATTCCGCCTCTGCGGCTGGCAAGCAGGTAGATGACAGGGAAATGGTCGCCCGGTGTGATTCATTTGCACGCCGATCCAGTGTGATGGCTCGGGGAAGTGCCGCCGCGGTGTTATTTGGTTGTCCAGGACCTCGCGTCGTCGTGCGAGTGTGTCATGAAATGTTACACGGTCCAAGGAGACGGACACGATGCCGGGCAAATAGACAGATTTCATAGAGTTGAGAAAATACATAGAGAAGCCGCTTGCGCCGCATTTCTTGAGCCACCCAGAGCATTGGGTAAACATACAGTGACATATTTCCTGCAAATGCTAAAAAA